AATTATGGGCACTGACAACGACGAAACAGAAATGATGGAAGAAAATGATGAGATCTATTTATTTCCTTTTAGGCTTGCCGCTCTTTATGTGTATATGGTGGATAATGTGGCTGCTCATCTTTCTCCTAACGACGACTATATCTCTTCTTTCTCTTTTTTTTTTTTGTTCTTCTTCTAGTCATTATCACTATAATCATCGAACATGCGCCTTGACAAGACATCAGTAGCGAGTACATGACCATATCATACAGTTCTAGTCAAGCAGGTTATCTTCTCCACCCTTTCTCTATATAATACAGAACAAACGTCAATCTAAATCAATCGAATCTGGCTATCACAGACAGACATACACTCGTTTTTATTTTCTTCCAACCTGCGGAAGCGGCAACAATTGAGAAGTCTGTTTTTTTATCATTAACACTCATTAAAGCGGAACTATGCTTATGTTTAATTTAACGGTTGTTCGCCTTTTTTTTTATTTTATTTTGCAGAGTATATAGATATATACATATCGATTGAGATTGAAAGGAAAAAGTGATTTATGATCGCATAAGTCGTTTGTTCTCAAAAAAAAAAATAAGAGAAAAATCGATAATGACATACACACATAGATTTACATGTATGTACATTGGTCAAGTGACTTTTTCTCTTAAAGCAAGTAAACAGGACACAAAACAACAATCGTCGCCGGCTATGATCATGGCGGTAAATCTTAAGCCTTACGCAAACTCACAACAATTACAACTTGTCACACGAAGGCTCTAACCATCGATCGAAAAAACAAAAAAAAAAATAAAAAAAAGAAGAAAAAGAAGATGAAAAATTGACGGACGGCGGGAAGCTCTCCGAGACGGAAGTTCCTTTTTTTTGTGTGTCCGTCGAGCACGATTCATTGTCGTCCCGACGGTGATACAAACGAAAGTACTTCACACAGAAATATACGATAGAAAAAAAGAGAGCACTAAACGGTACAGGTATTGAGCTCGCGCCGCACGATCCAAGTGTTCATTTCCTGCTAGATCGCTCATTCAAGTGCAGCATCGGACCCAAAAAAAAAAAAGAAAGACTATGAGAGAGAGAGAGTGAGTGAAAGAAGGTACGAATAGAGAATAAAGAGTGGATAGAGAAGTAGTACTATGGACTTCAATACTAATTTTTTTTGACCATGAATATAAAATAAAAAGTCTTATTATGAATCTTTTTGTTATTGTTTTTTTTTTAATGTGAAAAGAACAAAAAAGAAAATGTGTGACAAAAAAAAAAAACTTTTTTTATGTGAAGGTCAGTTTAGTGAAATAAATACACAACAATTGAAAATACAACAGAATGAATAGGGAACACAACAACAAGACAAAATACTTGCCAAATACTTGAAGGATATGTCAAAGCGAAAATGCAGCAGGCACAATCGTCGTTGTACTGGTACAATCATCAGTCGAAGAATGAATTGTTGCTGTCGTTGCATGTTGTTGTTGTTGTTGTAAGCAATTTTCCGTATGTTTATTAAGTAGTGACATACGTGAAAATGTTTTTGAACATTTTGTACACCGGTATTTTTTAATATCCGAATGTGTTTGCATATGTGCACGTAAATTCGATCTATCCGCAAATGCTCGACAACATATTTCACATTGAAATGGTTTTTCTCCTGTATGTGTACGTACATGTCCTTGTAAAAGCCATGGACGTGAAAATGCTTTACCACAAATTTTACATTTACATGGTAATGTATGTGTACGTATATGCATTTTAAGTGCACCTAATGAATTATATGTTTTTTCACAAAATTTACATTGAAATTGTTTTTTAATTTGTGCAACACAATGAAATTGTTTATGTTTTGAAAGACCACCAAATGTTGAATAAGATTTTGAACAACCATCACATTGATAACGTGAATTTGTTGTTATATTTGAATTTAGAATTGTTGCTGCTGTTGTTGTTGCTGTTGTTGTTGTTGGTGTTGTTGTTGTTGATGGTATCGTTATTGATGTTGATATTAGATTAGGTGATGATGGTGATGATGAACATGATGAAGATGTTGGAGTTAATGGATAAGATGATTTTAAAGGTTGTTTTTTTATTGAATTTATATTTGTATCAATAAGTGATGGATTTGGTAATGGTAATGGTAATGGTGATGGTGGTATTTGACCATTTTTTGATAATTGCATAGCAAAATAATGATAACTAAGATAATAAAGATATGAAAAATCATTTGAAGACATTAAACGTGGAAATATCATTGATGTTGGAGATATTTTAGGGAAAGCTCGATGTAGAATTTGTGCTGATTCAGTTTGAAGTTTTTCATTATGATGATGATCTTCATCATGTTCAATATTTTTAACCATTTCATCATGATCAATATCATCTTCATCATCATCATCATCATCATCTTCAGTTTCAAGCATTGATTCAGCAGATGATGCTGCAGATAAAAGACTTGATATAAGAAAACTTTTACGATTATCAGATTCTATTTAAAATAAGAAAAAAAAAACGAAAAAAAAAAAATTTATTTGAATAATTTTAATAAAACTTACCAGTCATTGTTTCGTCTTCAACAATATTGCTTGTAGTACTACTACTCATCATTATTTTCTTCTATTCAGATGTGGGAGTATCGTCTTCTTTCGTACTGTCTTCTTTTTTTCTTTTCTTCTGTCTTTCTCTCTCTCTCTTCCCTTCTCTTCTCTTCTTCTTGTCTTCTATCGTTTTCTCTTTCTTTTTTCTCTCTATATATTTTCTCACTTTTTTATTCGTGCTCCTGTTCTTTCTCTTGTTGCAAACGCGCGATAATGCTCGCGCGTATTCTGATAGGTTCTTCTAATGTGCTTGTTATTACACAGCGCACTGACTGCGTTGCTTTTGCCACTACCAACCAGCCAGTGCGCAATTATAGATGAGAATGCTGGCAATGGTGAAGCTTCGTTTCCGTTTCCTTACTCTCCCTCTCTCTGTTCCGACATAAGTGTGCCGTTATTGAGGGAAAAGTGCCAGCTGAAGAGCAATAGAAAATAGGAGAGAGAGAGAACGGTGCTATAATTCTTTGCCTAAAATTGCTTCATTTGATGTGCATGATCATTACATATATATATGTCTGTGTGATATTTATTATCGAACCAATGGAAAGATGAAAAAATAAAAAAAGAACGATAATTATCAGATGCACTTGTCGTTTTGTCCAATGAAAAGAATGAGAAAAAAAATATGAGAATTTCTTTTTTATTTTTGATTACAAACTCATTGGATTTATATAATATTAAAAAACAATCATTTATCTTGTGTATCTATTCACGCGTCTTAGTTATAGTCTTCATTCAATATTTGTTTGCGGAAGACAGATACATATACATATAGCCATGCGTAGTATATTCATACATACGAAAGTCAATCAATCACTTCTCTTTCGTATATGTATATATATATGTATATATCTTTTCATTGCATAAAGTTAAAACTCCAAATAAACATAGGCAAAAGGAAGACAAAGACGAGGCGATGACGCCGCCCTTCGACACCATTTACGAGCGTGCTTGTCTATCGATTTCTTTTTTTTTTTTATTCGACTGAAGGTAAAAACACTTGGCAAATAAATGAAGTTTTGGTTGTTGTCAACAAGTGAGAGAAGACAGAAAGGAAGGAGAAAGTCGTGATCTGTAAATAGCCTTATATAAAGAAGAGAAGAAAAAGAAAAACATAAAAAAATAACACAATGTAATGAACATGATAACATGAAGATCATCCGCTGTTTTAATCCTTTTTACTTTCACTAATTGAATATAAACGAAGAGCATGACATTTTTTTAGTCGAAAGGTGCTGACTGAATATGAATAATTGAAAAATACATATATACACACACACACACACACACACACACACCTTGTTCTCTTTACACGGTAGGTAGCCAAGATAGGCACAGTTAGTTCTCTATTATGATTAGCTTCATTCGAAGAATGAAAAATTCTTTTCTTTGCTTTTTCTTTTTTATTCCTTCGTTTTCGTTAGATATGTTCAAGTGTCTCTTGAAATTTCAGCACACCTTATAACAAGATCAACATTATAGACAATTGTTGATTTACGTAATAATTATCAGTTTTCGTGTGTACCTCAGCATGAAACAAAATCATTCTATATAACATGCTGTCGAACCTGATGTTTCTCTATTAATACATAATGTCACATAATTAGCAAAACAGGCAGCTGTATCGACAAATTAATGTTGATTTTGATTTTTTTTTTCTCAATATTTTGATTTTTTTGTTGGTTTTTTTTCTTGAATGAATTTGATTATTGTGAAAGATTGCTCGAAGAATAACATATCCTGTGGAGTTGAGATATTTTTTCTAGATAACATATAAAGATGGTACAGAGCTGAGAATACCTATTATGTTTAAATTCTAAAGACAAGAAGAATTAATGATTATTAAATAAGCATTGTTGATATGAATAGAAATATATCGATGTCAATATAAACAAGTCAAATCTCAATGTGAAATGATACAGTTTAATTGAATATAGAAAATAAAACAATATTGTAAAATTGATTATTTATATTTATTTTCTGTTTATTTTTGAAAAAAAACAATAGGTTGAAATTTGTTCATATATAATTCTTCATTTTTTCTATATTATATATGTTTGATTTAACTAGTTTATAAATGAAAGATAGATGGTTTAGGTAGTTAAAATTTTATAAATGATAAGAGAAAATACTGTGTTTGAAAAACAAATAAAAAATGTTGAAATACTTAAACTATTTCTAATTCTTGACAGAAAAAAAACATTATGCATTAAAAATAAGGAAAAAACAACAATCTTAAAACATTCACAAACAATTTTTCATCTATAGAAAGTATTGTATTCATGTCAAAATGCATTAATAATACAACTAAATTTACAAAAAAAAAAAAGTGTAAACAAAGAGATTACAATTCGATTTGTTGTATTATGCAGAAAATTCATTGCAATTATGTTTCATAGAAAATCACAGATATTATGTTGATGGTGATATAGTAGGCAATGGTTGTCTTTGTAATAATTCAATTGCATGTTGTTGTTCGTTTGTTGTTGATAAAGAAGATAAATTAGTTTGTAAATCAGGTGCTGATGAAACATGTGTAATAACTCTATATCAAATAAAAGAATTAAAAAAATATTTTAAGGAATTTCTTTTTTTTGTTTTACTTTGGAATATCTTCACTTTCATATTGAGTTCCTTCATCAATTAAACCTCCGGGTTCACATTCTTCTTTTAATGGTAGTAATGTTTCAGCTAATGCAAATACAACTGGTTGTTCTTTTGTTCCTTGTACAATTGTATAATCAACACCTGGTTCTGCTTGTTTTGTTTTAGCAATAGATGGAACAGTTACTGCTGTTAAATTTGGATCAACACGTCCAAGTGGAATTTTTGGTACAGCACCCCATGAAAAATCACGAGCTGTACATTTAACACGTGCATAATAAGCTATTATAGCAAATACAATTGCTCCAATTAAAACTAAAGGTAAAACAATGATATGAAAATTTGTATTATCATTATGAGAAATTTTCTTTGGATGTGATATTATTGTTGAATTAGTTGTATTTAATAGAAATTTTCGAGATGTTTTTTCAATTGATTTAATATGTAATGGTGTCCACCATGTATGATTTGGTTCAGTTTCATTACGATCAAAACCAAAATAATGACTTAATATACTACCAAATGATGATGGTGTATTACTTATTGTTTTTGCTAGCCATGTTGATAATAATATAGATAATAATGATACTGTTAAAATACCAAAAATAAGTATAACAAGATTAGATTTTACTTCAAATACTAAATCTTTTGCTTCATTAGCTACAATATCGGTATCTAAATTAAAAATATAATTGAATTGTAAAATAAATTTATATAGATAATAAAATACCTTTATTAATTGTACATACAGTATCATTACTAACATGTATTTCATCATTTTCTGTCATTTTCAATCTGAAAATAGATAAAGTATAATTTTTGTTTTTCATTAATACATTATATTTTATATATTGTAATAAATTTTTTTTTTGTTCTACAAGATATAAATATTTGAAATCTGGTGAGGGAATATCTTCAGGTATGAAATCGTTTGTTCGACTGACGACAATGTTTATTTGATGAGTAATAAATAAAAGTCTAGAATAGTTTGGTTTTGTAGACATTCGTTCTTGAGATATCGAAATTTTACTGGATTTTTCAACAAAATTTCAATATTTCAAGAACGAAGGTCTAAAAAAAACAAATCATTCAAGACTTTTCTATTACTCATCAAATGAACATTGTTCAAGTTGAAAAGCGATTTGACATTTATAGAGATTTTCCTCGTTAGATTAATTAAATTCCAAGAAGATATTATTTATTCTCTAAAAAATAATTTCATATAATTGGTTCTTGAATTAATCAATTCGTTTTTGTTTTTCTTTATCGTATCATCATTCAAGGACATCTCTCATAAATAAAAATAAAAAAAAGAATCTTTTGAATATTTTTTTATATTATTCCATGATTAAACAATGATAAATTTTATTTAATAGATTAATTAATTTTTTTTTCATGAATTTTGTGTCGCTACAATCAACGTTTTCATTGAATTTTTCTATAATTTGTTAATCTCATTTTTTATTTCAAACGAATAAATATTATTATTATATCATACAAAATTCCATTTAAAAAATACTTTGATTAGACAAGATGCCATCTTCTCTTCATCTACATTTGTTGAGTCAATTCAACATTCTATTTTTAAATATGTCATAGAATTAAATAATATAAATATCAAAAAAAAAAAATATTTAAAATCACAACATGTCATTCTTATCAAAACTATCATTAACAACTAATATCAATATATAAAAATTTTAATGGATATAAATACTGATAATCGTCGTCAATCATCATCATCATCATCAAATGATAAACGTATTCATAATATTAATTATGTTCGACATGTTTTAAGAAAATTTTTTGGTAGTTATAATAAGAAATCTTCATCAATAACAAGTTTTAATGATATTTCTTATGAACAATTACAAACAACAAATATTATAAAGAATAATTCTATATCTTCAATATTAATTCATCCATGTTTACAATATGATAAACATACAAAATTTTCTGGTATAAAGAAAAAAAACAGAAAAGATCAAGAAAATTCAAAAAAAAAGATTTAATTACTTTTTCCTTTTTAATTTTCAGGTGAATTATTACTTGATTGGTTATTGAATCATTTTGAAGGTCGTTATGAAGATTTAATATTAATAAAACAAGTTATTTTACAATGTTGTACATGTCTTATTTCTCTTGGTGTACTTCAAATAGAAAATGTACAAAATAATGATTTATTTCAAGTATGGGAAAATGTTTTTCTTGATTTTTTTTTATATACACAAGGGAAATAAAGTAGATATATATTATATTCAACAAAAATATAATTGTTTATTCTCATATTTAATTATGAATATAGAATCGATCTTTTTTCTAATAAAAATAAAGAAAAAAAAAAACCTAGAATAGATATTGAATATATCAAAAAATGATCATTTATAATCGAAATTATATATGGAATGAGTTCTATGTACCGATATATATTATTCGTATGTATGTTGTCGAACGACCATGTTCATGAGAAGCTGTAATAAACCTTGTCATATGGCAAAGGTAATCAATTGTATTATATGTATATGAATAAGATAAAAGAAACGAATATGTGTGAAAAACTGTCATTCGCTTTGTATCTATGTGTTATAAAACGGTCGATGATATCGACATAATTGGGTATGATGAGATACGCTTTTGATGTGTGAATGACATAAATTATTTGACAAACACATTTTTCTTTTTGATCAGCATTGCTCTTTAAGTAAACGTGTAGATATGCATATGGTCTCTTTCTCTCTCTCTCTCTCTCTCAAATTGTCTACTCGAATTGAGTTAAGTATCATTATTTATCATTTCACTTCGTCTTAGAATGTTATCACATTGTTTGTATAATAGTAGTTGATGTATCGGCTTTATTTTTTTGTCTCGATCTGTAGACATCAATTTTTTTTTTATAAAAATAAAAAGAAAGAGAAGACGTTCAAGGTTTATAATTCATATGAAATGAAAATTTCTCTTCTCGTATCATATAAATACGTTCATAGTTGTTGTTGTTAATGTTTTAACCTTGAATTGAATGAGCAAAATCCTTGATAGTCACATATTCTGCCTATATTGGTCTATATTCCCAATTAAATTAGATAGCCGTCTGGAGACAACTATAATAACCTTTGACATTGAACATGTCTTCATCATCATCATCATCATCATCATCAGTTGAAGACTGACAATGTCCCAATTCTATACATACAGATGTGCGTTGTCGTACATGTAGTTCAATTAACAAACAGGTCGAAATATGAAGCAAGAAAAAAAAAATAGAATAAGAAATAACCATGAAGGATATGGACAAAATAGACAGTAGCAAAGAAATCGAAATGAATAAAAGGCTAATTAATAATATTTGAAGGTGCATCGATTTTCTTTCATGCCTTGTACACCAATCGAACGACCATCACAACGGTATATTTATTATATTGGTTATACCTTTTATTTTATTGAAGATTATTAACGAAAATTTATCTATATAGATCTTTTAATCAATAAAATGACATAACTAATATCAAGAATACATAATACTACTCATTTTTCTTGATGTAAAATCTTTATATTCGAGAAGAATGATAACTGAATGTTATATTTTACTTATAAAAAAAAATTTGCTTTTTTATTCGTTCTGCAAATATTTTCTCTTATGTTCCATGTTAATCTTCTTCTATAATAAAAAAAAATTTGTCTTTTATGATTCATATGTACTTTGAGTCATGTATAATGGCAGCGATCATTTCTGGTATTATTCATTTCATTTTCTTTTTTTTTTTGTTTTTAATGTTAGGCAGAAAGTTTGTATTCGTGGGCAACTAACATAAATGATGAAGATACAAATATTAAATTATCACCACCAAGTATATCCAGTAATAGTAAGTTTTTTTTTTTGTTTCAGATTTTTTTTGTTTTTTTTTTGTTTTAACTGATATTTGATATATCAGCTCTTATTGTGATGATGATAGTTTAAGGTGTGAAGCTTTCTGTCTTCATGTCAAGAGTCAAGGATGTTGTATCGATATATCGCTTTTTTTTTTTTTTGTATTCTAGTCAGTAAAGTGTGACTGAAGATGCAAAAGAGGCAGACGAACAGGTATCATTTTCAATTGCTCTTTTACTGCGCTTTGTAACATACTATTCTATCATATATATCTTTTATTCATCTGTTCCTTTTACTAGATTGCTGCTCTCACAATTTTTCTCTCTCTCTCTCTCTCTTCGTTCCTTCACTTTCACACTAATCAATATAGAATATCAACCTCTTCCCTTTCCTATCAATACTCACAAATATGAACAAAAAAATTGAGACCTTCATATAAACGTTTGTATTCTTTTCTTTTTCTTTTTCTTTTTAAGTTAATCATTATCTGGTTGAAAGCAAAGAAAATAACTATAGAACATCGACAGCGACAACCATTTTAGATATTCTTCAAGTATGTGTTAACAAAAAATTTATTTATTATTAAATTGATATATCTTTAAGAACGAATACGGTTTTCATCCTGATATTGAACCAAGTGAAAAAAAATCTGTATTTACACAATACAATCTTTTCAATGAAATAGAAAAGATTGAAAAATCAACACAAACAGATCAAATAAATTTAGGTCTTGTTCCTTATTCTAAGGTATTTCATATAACACAAAAAAGAAAAAAAGAACAAAAATAATTAAATAAATAATTTTTCTTTTCAAAAAGAAATGTTTAACATTTAAATATCATAATTCAATGTCATCATCAATTGTAACAAATCCAAATTCAGATTGTGAAACATCATCTTCAACATCAAATTGTTATGATGAAATTACTATTCGACGAGCAATGCATAAATTATTCTCATATGTTAATAACAATGATTCTTCATTGTCTGTTGATGATAATATTCATTCATCTGTTTCATCTTCTTCACTTGTCCTTCATCCTTCACTATCATATAAAAATAATCATGCTAAATTTACAAGTAATTAGATTGATTTCTTTTTGATTTTATTTCATTTTTATATTATATTTGTTTCATAGATGATTTATTAATTGATTGGTTAACATTGAATTGTGATACAAGAAATTCTTCTACACAAGCATTTGTTAAACAACAACAATTTAAATCATATTTACATTCTCATAATAACTCAAATGACAATGACCTTCGAAAAGTAAATTTATTTATCTTATACAAAGAAAAAAAAAAAGAAATAAATATTAGACCTTCAAAAAAAAGTAATTCAATTTACTATCAAGGATTATCTTTCGAAAAAAATTAATTCAAGTTTGTTTGTTTTTTTTTAAAACTAAAACTAGAGATGTAAATGAATTGATTAGTTTGTATTACCTAAGAGAAAAGCTTTTTATATTTTACTATCAATATAATTTTCATTGAAATGTTATAATTAATTTTGTTTAGACTTTAAATATACGTGTCTCAAAAGATGAATCCAAGTTACCACTATCATCTAGTAAAGAACAATCCATATCATCTTGTCTTAAAGTTAATCAAAATATTAACGATGATGTATGTTCACTTTTGTCAAATCTTATTATACAAGTTGATGAAAAATCAAAATCATCTGACGTGCCATCTTCCATGTTAGTCGAACTTGAATATTTCAACTTATTTTATAGTTTTATTTTTATAGGTCAAACATTCCATTACCAATATCTTCACCTCCTCCACCACCACCACCACCATTCCTTACCATTTTTACACCAACCATAACATCACCTTTTTCATCCATTCCACCACCATTTCCGCCTTTTTCTAATTTTGGTGTTCAACCATCATCACCTTTTCCAATTTCGGCTGGTCCACCGCCACCTCCACCATTTCCAGGCTCGGCTGGTCCACCACCACCTCTTCCATTCCTTGGTTTCGGTGTTCCACCACCACCACCTTTTCCAATTTCGGCTGGTCCACCGCCACCTCCACCATTTCCAGGCTCGGCCGATCCGTCGCCTCCATTCTCTGGTTTTGGTGTTCCACCACCACCACCTCCTCCTCCATTTCCTGGTTTTGGTGTTCCACCACCACCACCACCACCTCCTCCATTTCCTGGTTTTGGTGTGCCACCACCTCCATCAACAATGGGTTCATATGGACCTCCGCCACCACCTCCAATGATGATGGGATTTGGTAGTAATTAAAAAATTGTTTTCATTATATAATAATAATTTAATCTATTGTTTAGTTCCACCACAATTACCACAATATTTACGTAGGAAACAAAAATATGCTGTAACTGAACCAGTTAAAAAAGTTCAATGGAGTAAAGTTAGTTAATATGAATTTATTTTCATGAATTTTTAAATTATAATATTTTTTTTTCCAGATCAATCCACATGCAATTAAAAAAGATTCTATGTGGGTTCATGTTGATGAAGAAAAATATGTTAATGATGAACTTTTTTCTGATATACGAAAAAATTTTGCAAGCAAAGTAGCTCCAAGTATAGCAAAATTGTTTTTGTAAACAAACTCATAAAAGAAAAAAATATCCTTTTATTCTAGGTAGACAACCTATCCATGAACTTGTTGATAAATCAAAAGAATTACGTGTTCTTGATGCTAAAGCTGCACAAAATTTCGGTAGAAATTAATTTTTTTGACATACAAGACGAAAACAAAAAAAAAACATCAAATAATTGAATTAATTTATTTTAGCTATTATGTTCAGTCAATTGAAGACACCACCATCAGTTTTTCGTGAATGGATGCTTTCATGTGATAATGAATATTTAAAAGATGATTTTATAAAACAATTAGAAAAATATTTACCAACACCTGAAGAATTAAAAACATTAGCTGATTATAAAAATGAAATTAATGATTTACAATATTCCGAACAGTATTTTTGTGCAGTAAATATATATATTAAATCATTTTTTTTTTATTATTTTTCTAATCTATTTTATTTATTTAGATCGGCGATATAAAACGATTAAAACAACGTTTAAAAACTCTTTTATTTAAAGCAAATTATAAAGAAACAGTTGAAGAAACAGATAAAGTTTGTTGATTTCATTCGAAAAGGAGAGAATATTTTTATATCATTTTTGTATAATTTTATATTAAGGCATTTGTTGAAGTTCGTACTGCATGTGATCATATTCGATATTCAATAAAATTTAAAAAAATGCTTGAATTAATATTAACAATAGGAAATTATATGAATTCAAGTGCAAAATCATATGAACCTATACATGGATTTGATATTAGTTTTTTACCTAAAGTAATTTAAGAAAATTTTTCTTTTTTTATAATTTATATTTATTTAAAAATAGTTACATTCAACAAAAGCAAATGATGGTCGTCGTTCATTACTTCATTTTATTGTTCAAGCTATAGAAAATAAACATCGTGATTTACTTTCATTTTCTGATGAATTCTATTCACTTGCTGATGGTATATCCAAAAGTGAGATTGTATGTTTTTTATAAATGATAAGAAAAAAATTAAAATTTTGTTTTTTTTTTCTTCAATAATGTCTTTTAGTTAATATACTTGAATTACAAAAACAACCAAAAGAAATTAATAAAGAATTAAAAAATGCTCGAGAAGAATTAGATATTGCAAAAAATATTGATGAACAAATTGATGGAGATAAATTTATTGAATCAATTGAAGTAACTTTCTTTAGAAAAAAAAAAACAATTATTTATTAAAATTTTGTTTTTGTTTTTTTTTATAAAGGATTTTATTATTCGAGCTGATAATGATGTTGTACGATTAGAACAATTAGATGGAGAAATGACACAAGCTTATCAAGATCTTTGTGATTTTTTAGCTATTGATCCAAAAAATTATTCACTCAATGAATTTTTTATAGATCTTAAATCATTTTGTTCTTTCTTTTCGGTATATTTTTAATCTTCTTTAGGTTTTTACTGCTTCTGTTTTTTTTTGTTTTTGCTAGACATGTCTTCAAGAAGTACGAGCATGGCGTGAACAAGCAGCAAAAGCAGCTAAATTATCGTAAGTATTTTCTATTGAAAAAGAGAGAAAAAAAAATATCGAATAAGAATCAAAAGAAATTTTAAAAAAAAACATATTTACTATTCGAAAATCCTACTCCTTTAGTCAAAATCTAATGTCTACTTCACAATATTTTGTTCGAACATCTTCACGTCGTTTTCCTAAACGATCTGATTCAACGGAAGATTTTATATTGGCAGCTGCCGAAAGTTTGACTTCATCATCACGTGGTTCTTCTCCATCTATAGCATATCGTCGACAGGTAGCTTTAGATATTTAACAAAGCTTATATATAAATCGATATTGAAATTATCAGTGCGCATGGTCTTTTAGTTTTTAATATTGACTAATTTTTGATAAATTATTCATTTGAATTTTGTTTCAACAAAATCTTTTTTCTATTTAGAAATATACAATTGTCAATCGAGAAAAAGATTCTCGATACTCCCGATGATTCAACAACAGTAACAAATCGTCGTCCATTATCACGTATTGAAGATTTAATTGATAAACGTAAAACAAATCGTGGATTAACACCAACAGTAACTCCAATTAAGAAACGATCACAATCATAGAGAATGATTATTTTTTTTTGTTTCTAACATTGATAATCTCTTATTTATTTTTATTTTAATCCAGTGAATGTTACACAAAAAAACAAAAAAATAAAATAATAACATTCATTTATGTTCAGCATTTCTTATTTAATGATATTTTGTTCTTTCTTTTTTTCTTTCTTTCATTTCTTTTTCTTCAAATCTATGTTCAGTTTGTTTATGTAGAAGTGTACTTGATATTTTTCTATCTGTTATTTTCCTTTAATCTTTTTCCTTCGAAAATTTTCTTTCTGTCGCAATCTCATGTTATTATTCATGAACAATAATTGATCAAAGAAAATATTGAATTGAATTGAATATATATGCACATATAAATATATTTGTTGTTGTTGTTGTTGTTTTTATCTGTTATTGTTACAGATGGATATCAGTTGTCCACAATGTCAAACGACAAAATACAGAAATCCAAAAATGAAATTAATGGTGAGCAAATGTGGACATTCATTGTAGGTTATTAATTAAACAGAGATAGTTTTTTTATTAAAAACAAAATTTTCTTTTATCAGGTGTGAAAATTGTGTAGAAAATAAATTTAGTAAAGGCGTTGGAAATTGTCCAACATGCAAAATTGAATTGAAAAAAAATGGATTTCGATATCAAATATTTGAAGATCCATTTGTAGAACTTGAAATTGATATTCGAAAACGTATTCTTAAAGAGTAAGTCAACATTTCGTATAGAATATTTATTTACAAACGATTAGAATTTTTCTATAAAAAAAAAGGTAAATAAATTGATTTTCTAGTTTCAATCGAAAAGAACAAGATTTTGATTCACTCGATGCTTATAATGATTATTTGGAAATGGTCGAAACTTATAGTAAGGAAATATTTATTTTATTATATAAAAAAAAAAAACATAAAATATGTTTACATTTTAATATAGATCTGTTTATTAACTTTCTCTGAATTTGAGTTATTTCGAAAGTTCTGAAATACTATCATCAGACAAGAATGTAACTCTTTTTTTCTGATGGACTATTGCTTAAGTAGTTCTTGCATAAGATGTACATGAGTATGATGCAATATAACATAGCAGAAAAAAAAAATCTTACATCATTCAAAATATAGATTAGTATAAGTAATAAATTCCGAGCATACGAATAAGTGTTATATATTCATAAACAAAAATCTAAGATGTAAATGTATTTGAATAAATATGATTGATATAATAATAATAATTTTATTTTAATTATTTTCTAGTTTTTAATCTTACAAACAAAACTGATGTGGAAGAAACTGAACGAAAAATTAATGAATATAAAGAAGCAAATAAAGAAGTAATTACTAAAAATCGAGGCAAATTGGTTAGTAAAATTATTAAATTATATTCGCAAAAGATGAAAAAAATAAAATATTTTGTTTTATAAATAGAGTAATGATGAAATATTTATTGAACATTTAATTGAACAAGAACGTACAGCTGAAGAAATGCGTAAAAAAATCTATGAACAAGAACTTCAAAAAGAACAAGAAGCAAAACAACGTGTTAAACATGATCTTATGGAAGCATTAGTAAAATTATTATTTATTTATTTATTTATTTGTCTATGTTCATTTTTACTTTTAGCTTCATTCAACTGGTAATGTTAATCAAGTACTTAAAAAAGGTATTGAAGATCTTGAAAAAAAACGTAAAGAAGATGTTCAACCAATTATGCCTAATATGGTATAGAAAAATAATTCAATTTTAAATTAATTTTATTTCATTTTAAATAGATTAAAAGAGAAGAAGAAATTCTTATATCATTATCAAATGATCAAAATCAACAACGATTATTTGAATATATTCCACCTATTTATGATCATCAAGGACCATCAATTCCTGATAAAAATGATCTTGAACAACTTGGGTATAAAAATCGAATTTAATAAATTATTATTATTATATATCAAAAAAAATTTGATTTCTTTTATAGATACTTAGATCATGTTCGTCAAGAAAAACCAGTTGAACGTGCTGGTGGTTATACAAGAGAGTATCCATGTTTACGTGCTATAGAAGAAGCATTTGATATGTTGTTATTTGTAAAAGAAAATTCTTTGATTGATACTAAACAAGGACCTACAGATGAAAATGAATCTATGGAAACTTAAATAATAAAATGTATTTTTTGTTTTTATTCTAGATAAAATATATTTATTCAGAATTTTTGTTTTTTTTTGATAATATGCAATTAACATTACCATTATCTTTGAAAGGTATGATTGAACTTGATCGTAATCAATTTACACAGATTATTAGTGTACCGTATATTAATATTCCAGTGAAATATATTCAATTAAAACAATTAAAAGATATTTTACTTATTTTACATTCATTTAAAAATGTTCGTGATTTTGAACCAAGATTAAAACAAATTTTACTTGATCCAGATATGATTAAAACTAAAAATGATATTATTAAATGTATACCATTAATAGAAGAATATATTGAACAATCATTTGATTTTATTCAAATAACAATAACATATGAAAATTATACAATTGAACAAATTATTAAAGCAATTTTACCAGATGATTTAATAAAAGATAAATCTGTTAATACTGGTTCAGGTTATAGTCTTATTGGACATATTGCTCATTTTAATTTAAGAGATGAAGCTTTACCATATAAACATATTATCGGTGAGAAATATTTTTCATGATGATGAGATAGAATGACTTAATCAAAAAGAAATATGAAGAATTTCGTTATAACACATGAGTCTATTAGGAAAAGTTGCCTGTTAAACTATGATAACCGAATGAGAAGTGGATATCGAAACAGTATTTTCCTTTTATTATTTTCTTTTTTAAGAATAATTTCTATTTTGTATATGTTTTATTCCAAGGATTGTAGCTCAGGTAATTCTTGATAAATTACCAAATGTAAAAACAGTTGTCAATAAATTACATGAAATCGATTCGGTTTATCGTAATTTCGAATTTGAAATTCTTGCTGGTAATCCAAATACTATTGTTCGATGTCGTGAGTGTAAAGCAATATTTCAATTTGATTTTGCAAAAGTTTATTGGAATCCTCGATTAAGTATGTTCATTGAATTTTTCTTTTCTTTTATTTAACAAATTTTCTTTTTTCTTTTTTTTCTTTCAGGTACTGAACATGAACGTATTGTTGAAATTCTTCGTCCTAATGATATTGTTTTTGATATATTTGCTGGTGTTGGACCATTTGTTGTACCAGCTTCAATGCTTGGTTGTATAGTTTATGCAAATGATATTAATCCGGAATGTTTCAAATGGATGAATATTAATTTAAAAAAGAATCAACCAAAAAAATCCTCTCGAGAATATTATATATTTAATCTTGATGGACGAGAATTTTTACGTACTATTACTTTACCATATATTGAAAATTATCAAAAACAAATCATAGAAGATAAAGAAAAATTTCAATATTTATCAAATAGTAAAATTGTAATTTTAATGAATTTACCTGGACTTGCTCTAACATTTTTGGATGTTATATCTGAATGGTTATCAATAAATATCGAAGAAAAAGAACAATGGATATTACCAATTCATATTTATTGTTATACATTTTCAAGAGGTGAAGATCGTATTGAAGATATACGAACGAGATTGAAATTAATATTACCAAATATAAACAATGATCAAATATTATATCGATTTGTTCGACAAGTTGCACCGAATAAAGATATGTTTTGTGTACATATTAATTTATTTAATAAGAAAAACAAAGATGAATTACTGACAATGAAAACGATAGATAATAAAGATACAGTAGTAAAACAATTTCAACAAAATTTTTCCAAATAAAAAAAAAGAAAATTTTTTTTCTGCTTCGTTATTTGTGTTTTGATTTATATAAAAATAAAATAAAATTTTCATTGTTGCAGATGCATTCTTTAAATTTAATTAAAACAATATTGATTGAAGGTGAGTTAGATGCTATAAATTTGAATTAAATTGAATGTAGCTGATTGTTGTCTTTCTATTGATTTGTATTGCTATATTACTGACAGAATTAGAGAAAATACTCTGTACTTTTAGAATATAAGACTGATTGACATTTTTATGATTTCTGAATCTAGGATGTAGAGTCATTGTTTAGTTTTCTGTCACGCAAGATTATAACGTGCATAATACTTCATAACTGAGAACAATGTAAATATATTTATCTTAGATATTATCAAAATTACTACGAACTGATTCGAAATTGTGCCTAATGGAAGTCATTTTGTGTAGATGACACCATATCAGGAATATATAGTATAAAACACACTATCGGCTCTATGCGGTTGAAATTTGTAGAATTTTGAATCTGAGTCGTACATCGTGACATGTAAACAAAGTACCTTGCACTACTTATAGTTTCAAGTATTTTTAACGAATTTCGCAAGTCTCTCGTATTTCTGCAATTATTCGATGTTATGCGGAAAAAACCGTACTCAAATATTTTCATCGGCTTTGAACGATTCTAATTTAGCTAGATCATACTAGTAGTGATAGTTGGAAAAATCTATTTGTTTTCTCGTCTTATATAGTACAGTAAAGCACACTTCTTATCATTTTTAAAATTGAAATTTTTTTTCTGTTTGTTTTTTTTTCTCAAAAAGGTAAAATAATGTTATAATTCACTAAGTTAAATTCAAAAAATTTAGAATTAATAATGAGAAGAGTAGAGATGCGATTGATTGATTCTTGAAAAACTTGATAGTTCTCATTGTATCTGTTTATAGAACAAAAAATCAAGACCTTTCTTTAGATTTTTATTTCGATTTGTTTTTTAAAGACGAAAATATCATTCGTCAATATATTCATTTGCAGTATAAGAACAAAGACAACAAAATATTTGCTGTAGTTTTAAGTAGAAGAACTCGCATATTTACTTATGAGAGAACCACTAGAACTGATATTCATCGTTCAAACTCATGTTGAACTCACCAGGACATCTTTATAAGATTAAAAAATCCCTGAAAGGATTTGTTTTCATCAGCTTTTGGAGTCAAGTTAAGATTATTTTACTGAATTTTCCATCGAGTTTTAGGTGTATATTGAAAAATCAAATATCGAAATTTCAACATAAAATTTTATCCATAGATCAGTCGAGTAGCCTATAGAGTATCCTGAAAGTTCCAGCCAACAAGCGTAACCCTTTGCAGAGTTATTGAATTTTTAAGAAATAGTTGCTTGATACAGATATTTGACAAAAAAAATCGAGTACCTCAACAAATGAGCAATCTTTTCGATTGAAATTTGCAAGATATTCGATCAGTTATTAGACTTATCTATGAGCAAAATTTTAAATTGGAATTCTGTATTTTAATTTTTCATTGTGTACCTAAAGCAATAGGTCCAAAGTTTAGTAAAATGATCCTAACTCAGCTCCAACGACTCATAGAAACGAACCTTTTTTCAACTTTCATTAATCTCATCAAGATATCCTGATGAGCTTAGCATTAGCTCAAATGGCAGATAAAGATTCGGTTCGTTCCTTCGTTGATAATTGCAATATATATTTGTAGAAGATAATCATTTACTTTTAATTTCGATCTTAATAGTTATAATTAGAATGATGACTAAAATTGATATCACATATTTACTACAATTAATATGCGAATTATCCTATTAAAAAATCAAATATAAATTTTAAAAATATTACGTTAAGTAAAAGAAATAGATTTGAATAATACAACTTTGTTGTCACTTTATCATTTGAATAAATTAATCGATCAATTTTATGTATTTATTTATTAGGTAATATAGGTGTTGGTAAATCAACAATAATGTCTCATATTGCATCTACTTATCCATCAAGTCTTATTCAAGTTCATCATGAACCAGTTGAAAATTGGACGAATATAAAAGGTTTTGATCTTCTCAAAGCTTTATATACTGAAAGTAATCGATGGACATTTGCATTTGAAATGACGGCACTATTATCACGTATAAAAAATCATCTAAATGCAGTTAATAATAATAATAATAATAATCATATTCATTTATATGAACGTTCAATTCTTAGTTGTTTTCATGTATTTATTCGTCATGATCTTGAACAAAATTATTTAAATGGAGCTGAATATAAAATTCTTCAAGATTATTTTGAATATAGTCGTCAAAAAACGATGAATCTATCACAAACAGTAATATTCTATTTTGATTTATCATCAAAACAATGTTTGGAACGTATTATTAAACGTTCAAGACAATCGGAATCAAATATTGATTTAAAACGTTTAGAACAAATAAAACATTATTATGATGAATTTATAAAGAATTTTAATTTATGTCCTATAAAAATTATTGATGCATCACAATCTATTGAACAAATGCGTCAACAAGTTGATTCTTTACTAAATCAATTTATTAAACAGAATCAAATACATGATATGACACATAATAAACAATCATCAATTATGACAAAATTAGAGAGTTAAATTTAAAAAAAAGAAAACAGGTATTTTACGATAAATTTTTCTAAACATTCATATACGATTGAATCAATAATTATATAAGATTTATTTCTAGATATTACATACAATAGCTAATCAAGCAATACGAACGTCATTTATTTTGTATTAAAATATTAATAAAAAAAAGAAAAACTGTATTTTCTTGTTAAATAAATTTTATTAAAAAGAAACATGTTCAATTCTTTGAGAGTAAGATATATATTATTGTCTTGAAAATTTTTTGTTGAAGTATCATAGACTCACAAGAGAAGTTCTACAACTGATGAATTCCTTTGAGTCGAGATTGTGTACATTATGTTGACCCAAATGAGTTATGCAACAGTCAGAATCATGGTGAATCTGATGGATTCCATCCAACAGTACTAATTTAGCACAGTGATGAAAGAGATTTTCGAAGAATTCCCCGAAAACCATTGCAGCAGTGTCAAATTTTTTATATAGTTTACCCTGTCGCAGCAGCGGCGTGGTAACCTTATTTGTTCTAGAGCTGCTGCATGGCAGCAGCACATTTTCAGTCACGATAGGCATTTATGATTGTACTATAGAATTTTCTCTATAGATAACAATATTTTTTTATGCTCAACAAATGTGAGTAATAGAGAATAGATTACTGCATACTATACTGGAAGCTATCAACTCTAAGATTTGTTTGTCGTACAATAGATCCTTGAGAATATTTTATTAAACATTTGAAAATAATTTCTGTATAATTCAATATTCACTTAGACAAATTTCATTAACTTATAATGTTCATATTGATTTTACTAGTGATATGAAATTCTAGTTGTATATATTATGGATTTCTCAGGGGTAGGACTTTCAGTGTGGGATATGAGTGATGTGTGAGGGTAGGTGATAGTGTAGAGAACACAAAGCCTATACTCGGACCCTTTCACTATTTGTAATGAACGAATTTAACTGTTTCAGAACGGGTGACAATGTGCTAACTACATTTCTTTCCGATAACAATGTTGAGATATTGGTCGATAGAGGTACTAGTCGCAAAAATGTTTTTCAATATCCAATTAGTATGATATGAACCCACTTTTAAACTGCTTTTACTTACAAAAATCAAGGAAGTAATAGACTTTCATATCGATTCTAAACTACTATTCGTAGTATTATCTTAGATATATCTAAGTTTTACCAAAACACGATAAAGAATGATTTTTAACATGAAAATATTTCTCGGTATACTTTTGTCAGTCTTGCTGTATTTCTACAAAATCGTAGAGATTTATTTGGATATCGTTGAATAGAGCATTGATGACTCTATTGAATCCTGTATAGTTTTCATTTCATTTATCTTGTATCTTGTCCGAAAATTTGATAAGATTTGCGAAGTAGCAAATAAAAGTTTTCTTTTTTTTATCCTAATGTTTAATATCGTCGGTAATTCATAGCAATTTGAGTACTTCAACTTTTTGTTTCTAAATAAATGAATAGAATATTTAATTCTCTGTCGATGTATTTTTTTTTTCATTGAATTATTCTTTATCTCTACAAGAAGTTCTTAGCTTTCTGAGAAATTCTACAGGTAGGGTTTTTTTTTTCATAGAAATTCTTCTATTTTTTTCTTGAGAATATTTTATTTTCTGATGCATATAAATCCATTTAAATAATTATGTATGTCTGAATAGAATCTTGAATATTTTATCCGTTTACATAAATTTCGCTTGAATTACCTGAAGTATTACATGTAAATTTTTGTAAGAAAAAAGAAATACAATAATGTTGTTTTTTCATAAGTGCACAAATAGACAAAATTTCAGCAGTAGTATTCAATTTTCTCTTAGAGCTCAAATCAGTTGTATTTCATATTTTACGCATACTTAAATTTGATTCCATCATTTCTCGAAATTTTATCAAATCTCTAATAAAAAATACAAGATCAATGAAATGAAAACTGTATGGTTCGATAGAATTATTTATCGTCTATTAAATCATATCAAAAAAAGAAAACATCTGAGATTATATTGACATATAGCAAACAGAATAAAACTTTTAAAAATAACATAATAAAATTAATAAATCGAAAATCGATTTTTCTAGGAAGTGTAGACAACCTAAATCTTCTCAAAAATTTTTGTATACAAAAAATTTATTGATGAACATTTCTATTTCAATTAGTAACTAATTCTACAATTATTTATTAGAATCAATAAATAAATTGATCTAATTTATTGATATGAAAAATTTTTTTCAATACGAATAACCGGTTCTAACAAAATAAATTAAGAAGGTAACAAAAAAGGCATTTGACGATAATATATTGCATCATTTAATGGTAAATCAAGTTTCGATTTATTCAATATAAGTTCTTCTAAACATTGATATGCAATTGGATCAGCATTTAAATGAAATTTATTTGCAAATAATTCATGTCGATTTAATAGAATTGGTAAATCAAACATACCAAATACACAAATGCCACGTATTATACGTCCATAACAATTTTGTTCACCCCAATTTACAAAACGAGCTGTCCAATTAGTTGGATCACTTTTTGCTAAAATAAATTAACATATAGAATCATTTTTCATTCACAATATTCATTAATTCTTTGATAACAAAATTTATATTTTATCCAAAACGAAAAAAAAAAACAAACTGTTATGAAAAATGATTTATCTTCTCATTAAACTTCAAATTGATCAATTCAAATAATTATCTATTTACAGTTTAATTTAATTAAAACAATTTCAATAATCAATCTTATTGAAATTATAAAATCGATAAGCATATTAGCGTCGATACAACGTAGACATCTCGACAAATCAGTATTGTAATTTAACAAAAAACATCTGTCCGAGAAAAATACTTGTATATGATATTAAAAAAAACATTGTTCAGAGACATATTTTCATTATTGAAAAGATTCTAAATTAATTCAATAAAAGAATTTGTTATATATTCTTGAAGTCCTACATTTCTTTTTTTCTCTCTCTGTTGATGAAAGAAGAATTTCCATATGACCTACAATAATAAATCAATCATGCTTACCTTTATAACCGCCTGGAGAATGTAAATGTGTATTATAATTCAATGTTGCCCAATAATGTTCATCTGGACTATATGTATCACGCGACCAATCAAGTAATTCTTTTGCGACAGGACTTGTTTGCACAAACTCGATGAATGCTCGTGAAAAAGCACCTTAAAAACACAAAAAAAAGAGCTTTTTTTCCTTAATAAACATTTCAATAGAAAAAAAAAAACGTATAAATAACTTTACCATAAGCTGATCCTTTAACAATTTCAACATTGCCCGGTGGTGGTGTCTTTTTTTCATTAGTTCTTCTTAATTGTGCTACTTGTTTATTATCTCCTTCAGGTTTATCAATTATTTGCCAAACATATTCTGTTCGATCTTTATTTTTTGATTTCCATCGTCCTTCAATATCATTATATCCACGATAAATAGTTAATATTTTAACTAATTCACTATTTGTTTTTAATGGTAATTCAGTATTAGCAACATTTAATAAATATTTCCATGATGGATATTTAATTAA